ATATAAATATAATAATTATATGTAAAAGTAAATCCCCATGTATATTCCTCTAAGAAAAACCCCTTTAGGAAAATACTTCAGCATCATATAGAATGACAGTCAATAAGATGCAGGGGGATTGGAGATGAAAAATAGCCTTAATAGAAGAAGACACAGGAAATACTTGCACCTTTTTCTTTCTGAGAATCATGATCACAGGATTGGGCAAGAGGAAAAGGCCTGGTAGGATTAAAATATTTTAATATTTTACGGCCAGGACCATATTTTTTTCATTTTTATAATTCTCCCAAGTCTTAGAGCAATGGCTTGTGTGTCTGTGGCATGAAAGCAGAATGAGGGAGGGAGTGGAGTTTTCTTGTATTTTCAATGTGGAGAATGAAGCGAAAACCAGTTCAGAGAGACAAGGCTCATATTTCTAAATGTTTCTCTATTGCGTCCCATTAGGCACTTTTTCCTCCCTTCATCTCTCCTTTCTTCTCCTACCAACATCATATCCATGCCTGTTGGACATCTGTTATGGGTGTTATATTGCAAGCTCTGCAAGGAAAGGAACATCACAGCACTCAGTGTGATGTCCCTTACATGTGACATTTTGAAATTTTGGTCACTGACCAACTACATAAACTTGGAGGATTCTTTTCTTCTTGACTGCAAGGGAGTTTGTGGACTTAGAGAAAGTTGGGTTACAATTCTGCCTAAAGTGTAGCTTTTCTCAAGGGAAAAGTGAGGAAGAATAGCACAGAGCCTCTGTCCTAAACAGTTTCATTGTCTCGTAGGGGAGACAAAGCCAAGGTCTGCAAAGCAATGCTGAATGAACAATGTAAGCCTTTATAAAATTGGGCCATAAAGGGTGTGGTTTAAGCTGTGAATGCTGTGAGAACTCAAAGATGAGGGAATTCATTGAGCACAGGCTGTATCGGAGCATGGGCCCCTCACAGTGGGACTTGAGATGGGATTTGTAGGACTATGAGTGCTTTAGGGATGAGGTATATTGTCCAAACTCCATCCAGGAGCTTGTATACTGATAGGGAGAGGTCAGAGTTCACTAGAGAGCGCATCTATACTATTGTCATCCCAGTTGTCCAAATATATCCAAACTTGCAGGGGCAGGGGATGCATCTGGACTAGTTTTGCTTGGAGAAGGTGATGCCACCAGCTGACTAGGGAGCAGAGCTTAGGGAAATGTCATGCTTGTGAGAATATAACCTAGAACCAGGCCTGTGCATATGTGTGCTCCATGGCGTTGCTTTGCTGGGACAAACTGCCTCTTTTTTCTCCTGGGAAGGTAAGGTCAGGGCTTGTGGCTTACCACTGGGATTGGTGGTTTGTGTCCATAAACTGTGGCAGCCAGTCTCTTTCCTTCTGTGTATAGGTGGCCAGTGCTTTCTTTATCCTACACCTTTGTGGGGATATACAAACAACCCTTTCCAACAGCATTTTCTTCCTATGAGCACTCCTACTCTGTCACCTGCTTTCAAACAATATTGTGTTGGAGTGCCTTAATTCAACTCCCCCTATTCATTTCAACATATGGCTAAAGCACTGAATGGACGTTTGGCTGTCAGAAGCATCATCAGGCTCTATGGGCAGGTGTCTGGCCTCGGACATTAAGAATTTTCCAGCTGCTGCTACTGTAGTGGGGTTGCACAAATGGGTGTTTGCATTTATTAACTGAGTACACCGTGCCACTTCAGTTTCCCCACTGGCCATCACACTGTGTCAAGATGTTGCTTCCTCTCAAGACTTGGGGTCAAGGGGAGCAGGACTAGAACCTTTTGTCAAGTGTGTTCTTTTGGATCCTCTGAGAAGCAGACACTGGGAAGAGATTAGTTGTGTGAAAGATTTCTTGGGGAAACTTTTTTGAGGGAAAATGGGGAGGGTGCTTTTGGATTCTGAGACAGCTGTCAGACTTTGGTATAGCAGCGGCCCCTGTGGAGGGAGGGAGGAGAGGAAGGCTGGGTAGGAAATGGTTTAGATTATGGCACAATTCCAAGAAAAGTTTAGCAAGGCTGATGAGATATCCTTAAGCCATGGTGACCCTTCAGAGCAGCCCCACCTCCCTGCCTTGATACCCTTACTGAACTCAGTCATTGACTGGCTTCAGTGAATTTGGTCATGGACTCCGGAGCACAGTAGCTGACACCATCGATCAACTGCAGTCCTCAGAGTGGGAGATTTATTTGAGAGATGCCATTACACCTGGTCACCCCTGTTGACAAGCATCTTACTCCATATAACTCCAGCATGCCTCTTGTTGAAAGCTGGGACCAGAGCTCTTACAAAGGTCCAAGCAGGGCCATTCAGGTTTTGAGGCCTTGTACGAATTTAACCACAAGGGCCCAGGTACTACCCACTCATTATGACAAATAATTGAGTTCCCTGCTTGGGAATAAACAGTGGACACTTCATGTTAGCTTGTTATTGCACTGAAAGCATATTGCAAAAATAAGTGGCTCACCTTCTGGGAATTTTGAATGGTATTAGTATAGGCTCTCTCTATTCGGGCCCAATGCAGATAGCGTCTTGTGCTTCCTTTATTTATATCCCACTTAAATAGAAAGCACAGGTCATAGAATACTCATGGTACCTGCTGAATAACTTAGAAAATGAATCCTTCTTAGTCAAAGAGTATTGGAAAAGTAATGTTCTTCACAGGCACCCTAAATCACTTGCAGCGTAGATAATGTGTTTTCCGTTCTCTTTCCTGATTAGTTTTATTGTAATTGTTTGACATGGCACATGAAAGTCTGCCCACTGTTTGATGATGAATTAAGCACTCATGGTGGTTAGGTACCCATCACTTATATTCTCTTGCTAACGAAGGTTAGGACACTGTATTTCTCTATTATGGAGGAGTGGGCCAAATACTGAAACTGGAATGAGGTTAAAATATTCTTGAAAGAAATCTGTTTTTATTCTCATCCATCATTCCCTTCAGTTCTCCACATTGTTGCCAAAGTGACAGCTCTTACATAAAAATTTCATTGTTTTATGCTCCTGCCTAAAATATTTCAATAGTTCTAGATTACCATCAAATTAAAAATAAACACTTTATACCATGACTGAGGAACTTCTTTATGACTTGGTCTCTGCCTATAGTCTGTGGTCTAGAGTTTTCAACCTCTCTCTTTCTTTCCATCTCTATGTCTATCTTCGTTATCTCCCTCCATTTATTCTCTTCCTGCACCACTGCTTACTCTCCAAAAACCAACGTGTTTCTTAAGTCATTCTGTATTCATAGATAATCTTCAGTACGTTATCCTGGTTATAGTTAACACATTAACCCTACAATTTCGGTACCAACACAACAGAAGTTAACTTTTCATTCACATAATAGTCCAATGTAAGGTATTCCTGGTTGGCAGATGGCTTCCCCGCATCTGGTATCTCAAGGACCCAGACTCCTTCAGTCTGGTGGCTCTGTCTCTCTATATGGCTTTGTTTCCTCCCCATCTGACACCTCCAAAGCTGTGTTCCAGAAGTGACACCTATCACTTTTGCTTATATTCCATTGGTGAGAACCCAACCAGATACAAGACAATCAGGAAACACAATTTCTGGCTGAGCATCTACGCTCCTGACAGCTTATGCTACACACTTGTGTAAACAGAAATACTGGGGATCTTTTAGCTGTCTCTGCTGTTATGTACTGCCACCCACGTGTGCAACCTGGATCCCAACTTACTCCCTGATTCAGCTTATCTGGACAAATCTTACATGACCTTTTAAGATTCATCTAAAGCTTTGTATCATTCAAAGGGCTTTGGAGTGTTTTCTCTCTATACTCATATAACACAGAGGGCTTACCAGCTGTCATAGCACATGTCACATTGCATTATAGTTGTTTGCTTAAGGGTTTTCATTTTACAAACTTTAGCTCCTATAGGACTGGGGCTATATTTTTATTTTAAGTCTGGAAATGTCTTATAAAAAATATGCACCCAACAAATTATTAAATAAATGAAAGGCTATTAGGTGACTGGATTCACAAGAGTGGTAAAACCTTCGACATTTGATGTTTTAAAGACTGAATTGTGGATTTATCCTGAAAAACACATACAGCAGTCCTAATTTTAAATGGAGGAATGTACAGGCCTCTGAGGTTTCTTTGCTATTTATTAATAAATCTATAATATTAGGAGAGTTTACGTTACCAGATTACCATGAACATCCATCCTAACAGTATATAAACCTAAAAGTCAAATTGTTACTTGGGTTTAACTCTTCACTGAAAGGAATGTTCTATCTTTAGAATTCATTTACTACAGGTAAACAGAAATTTGATTCAAAGTTGTTTGAAAAATTAAAGAATGTATTGTGTCACATAACAAGAAGTCTAGAAGTAGGGTAGCTCCAGAATAGGTTGATCCAATGGTTTGGTGAAGACATTAGGACCTAAGTTCTGTCTGTATCTTGGTCCTACCATTCTCAGCATATTGACTATGTTTTTGGACTGGGTCCCCTCATCGTCATAAGAAAGCTGCCAACAAAAAATGGGGAAACAAATTGCCTTTTTCATATCCCAAAGGAGAAAACAACACTTCTCTCCCAACCATGGCATATATAAGTGCTTCCTTTTAGTTTGATGGCACTGTCTTAGATATGTGCTGATTTGTGGACCAACAACTTTTTGGGAAATTTGATTCCTGACTGATTAGTTTACTCAGTATCTGTTACAGAACAAAGGTTTTCTTGAAGCACTTAGTTGGATAGAAGAAGTGGGTAGCTTTTCTTTCTAAAATGTGTGGCTCCATTAGGAAGGAAGAGCAAGGGAATGTATGCTGCATATTTAAGCAAGAATGTCCACACTACAAATATCTTAATACAATCTATTGAACTTAATACAATCTATGGCAGAGTTAACAATTTTCTAAGTCAGGTAATAACATAACCTTTCCTCCTGCCACTTCTACAAGTTCAAAATTATATATTTAAAAGCATCCAATAGTGAGCATTTTAGATTCAGTTCTTCCAATGCGATTATTTATTCTTTATTCTAGGCCTCATAATGGGATTAATTTTACGATATGCTACGGCACCAACTGATATTGAAAGTGGAACTGTGTATGATTGTGGAAAACTGGCCTTCAGTCCATCAACTCTGCTGATTAATATCACTGACCAAGTTTATGAATATAAATACAAGAGAGAAATAAGCCAGCATAACATCAGTCCTCACCAAGGCAATGCTATACTTGAAAAGGTAAGGATTCCATCTGGTCATATATTTTTGTTTAAAGAATTGAGCCATCGTATGCAACATATTAACACACATGTATATGTCCTTTTTAAACACCACACTATTGCACCAATTTAGTTGATTAAGGGGATATACTTAATATAATTGTTTGTCAAATCGTAGATACATTCCATAAAAGATGGTAATACTTCTGACTCTGCCTTTCATGATACTTGTTTCAAGTTTTTTGTTTTTGTTTTTGTGTTTTTTTTAGAAGGAGTAAGCAGGGGAGGGCAGAAGAGAAAGAGAATCTTAAGCGGGCTTCACACCCAGGATGGAGCCCAACTTGGGGCTCGATCCCATGATCCTGAGATCATGACTTGAGCCAAAATCAAGAGTTGGACACTTAAACCAACTAAGCCACCCAAGTGCCCCTACTTGCTTCAAGGTTTTACATGTGTTCTAAGTATCATTGTATATATTGCCAGCTGGCTACTCAGATCAAATCTCCCTTAAGTCAGAAGAAATATAGAGAGGAGTGAAAAAATCTTCACCTGTAAATAAACCTTGATTTAGGATGACTGGCTTTGGGGCACCTGGGTGGCTCAGTAGTTGAGTGTCTGCCTTTGATTCAGGTCATGATCCCAGGGTCCTGGGATCAAATCCCACATTAGGCATCCTGCAGAGAGCTGTGCCTGTCTCTTATGAATAAATAAATAAAATCTTAAAAAAAAAAAAAAAAAGGATGACTGGCTTTTGGCTGCCAACACAAAACACTGGCCACTTGGCTATTTATAAATACTTTTTTAAAACACATTTAAAATAATTTTAATATGAATTTACTCTAGTTCTGACTAAAGCCAGTGTTATCCAGAAATATGTTGGTGTGATGGTACAGAAGAAAAAGAAAACAATGAAAAATTTAAAAATGGAAATATGAAAACAAATGCTAAATATTTCTGATTTTCAGAGACACCTGGGTGGCTTAGTGGTTTAGTGCCTGCCTTCAGCTCAGGTCGTGATCCTAGAGTCCAGGGATTGAGTTCCACATCAGGTTCCCCGCAGGGACCCTGCTTCTCCTTCTGCCTGTGTCTCTGCCTCTCTGTGTGTGTCTCTCATGAATAAATAAATAAGATCTTTTTAAAAAATGGTTTTATTTTTGCAAATTTTGAACTGCTTCAGTTATTGGAAGGAAGTTTCCTTCTGCTCTCAGAACTCTGGGTCAGAAAACAGAATTATCTTTTTTTTTTTTAAGATTTATTATTTATTTATTTTAGAGAGAGAGAAAAGGCAGGGGTGGGGCCCTGGATCCCATGACTTTGAGATCTGGAGCTGAGCTGAAACCAAGAGTACAATGCTTAACTGACTAGACCACCCAGGTGACCCAAGATTACCTCTTGGAGTGTGTTATGCATTCTGGATCAGTCTTTGGAATAAGGAATAAGTGAAATTGTGTTTAATGATACAAGTACATGCTAAGAACCAGGATCTCATGTGACTCATTCCAGAACATTTTGAGTTAGACCTGAGAGTTTCCTTGATATTATGAAAGTTTGTTTTATTACTTTCACCCATACAGATTTAGTTTTCTTTTAATATATAGGCATTTGTTTCAATTTTGAGAATTTTGGGGTGGGAGGGGAAATACTTAGTCTGTAATTTTTCCTCATTCATGATAGATAATTTTTAATGGCACTATTTTCATGTTATCATCCACTAGCATATTTCTAGATTAACTTCCTTCTAGCACTTGATGAAGGCTCAGGAAAGTCAAACTAATTATAATATTAGCTTAAGTCAGACTTAGGAGAGTGAATTGAAGCATGCAAAAAGCAAATTAAATAATGTGTTTCTGAAATAAATAGGAGCAACTTTTAGATCTTTTGCTCTTTTGGATGATTTCTTCCACGTGATTCTTTCTGTTCACATGGATAATAGAAACTTGTGTATCTTGAAATAAATAATTTTTAAAAGGCTTTGTTGGCAGCATATGATTTTAATTAAAACCACACTCTTCAGTTTACCTCTCTTTAGCACTTGGACATAATTATTTTTTTAAATAATTTTTTAAATAATTTTTAAATTATTTTTTAAAAGATATATATATATCTTTATATGTATATATATATATCCTCACTCTCTTACCTATTTTTTTAAAGATTTTATTTATTTATTCATGAGAGACAGAGAGAGAGGCAGAGACACAGGCAGAGGAAGAAGCAGGCCCCATGCAGGGAGCCTGACGTAGGACTCGATCCCGGGTCTCCAGGGTCAGGCCCTGGGCTGAAGGCAGTGCTAAACCACTGAGCCACCCGGGCTGCCCTCTCTTACCTATTTTTTTTTCTCTTACCTATTTTTATCTACATTTCTAAGCAATACTATTTTACCAAACGAGTTGACACCCAACTGATAGCTGATAACTATCTCTGTTACTATAACAATTTTTTTCTAGCTGGATTGCCAATAACTGATCAGAAATTTTGTTACTGTGTTGTTGACATATTGATTCCTTTACATCAGCAGCCAAACTCCAGTGTTTGCTTTTGAAAAACTAAGGCAAGAGTTAGAGAAAATGTCCAGGTTGCTGGGGCCTTCTTTGTTCTTTCATTGGGTAGATTATGAATTCTATACATAAAAAGTTTAATTGACCTTGAATGGTTCAAGTATTTTCTAGATTAATGTCTAAATCATGTGACTCATTTGTCCCTCAAGGTAGCCAAGATTGGCAATAGGCAACTCAGTACCCAGAGTAAACCCTCCCCTCGTTACTGGTGGAGAAAGAGGCATCCACTGGTACACTTATCATATTAGATGACTTAAAGTGGAAAGAACTTTGTTATCAATGGCCAGAGTATATTTTAATGTACATTTGTTTCTTATGTGCTAGTGTTGGGGGGTGCTAGTTAGTCTACAAAAATAAAAAAACCACAGTCTGTCTTTCTTACTGGGAATTCGCCACTGCACTCAACTATTCATATCAATCAATTATTCAACCAATCTATCTCAGATGCAAAAGCATTCCAAAAAAAGGTTCATTCATTGGGTGCTTTATAAGGAAGCAACATGGTGTAAAGGGAAAAAAAGTCAGGACCAGATAGATTTTCTCAATATCCTTAGTAAGTTCCTTGAACTCCAACTTTCTTATTTGTAAAGTGGGGAGATTAGAACTATTTTGTAGGGTTGTTTTAATGTTTAAATGAGATGATATATCTGATGAGTCTGGATACCACTAGACCCTTTACATTGTACTACTATTACTGTCTCTGCTATTATTACTGCTGCCAATTCTACTACCACCACCAGTACCGTCACCACTGCACTACCTCTAATACCAATGCTATCATTGCTATTACAAGGTAATGTTTAAATGCTTAGCAAATGCCAGGGATTAAGAAAATGTGTGTGTGTTTTTTTTTCATTCCTTTAACATTTCTTGGGGAGAAAAGATCAATATATAATATATACCTGTATATAACTCAGTTCTAAATTATATCACGTAGATTGTGAGGACTGTAAAATACCATATGCCAAGCTTGTTTCTTTTTTTAAAATTTTTTTTTATTTATTTATGATAGTCACACACACAGAGAGAGAGAGGCAGAGACACAGGCAGAGGGAGAAGCAGGCTCCATGCACCAGGGGCCCGACGGGGGATTCGATCCTGGGTCTCCAGGATCGCGCCCTGGGCCAAAGGCAGGCGCTAAACCGCTGCGCCACCCAGGGATCCTGCCAAGCTTGTTTCATTCATGCTCAATACATATAGAAGTGTAGAAAAGAAAAAAAATAGTTTCACTTAGAGATTTATAAAAATGATATTTTCCTATACATTGTGAACAACTGATGATCTCAAAACAACCTTCTGGGAAAATAAAACTAAGTGGTATTTCTTTGTATTTATCTTGTTCATGTTTCCAATTATTTGGAAGCCATTAATTATTCTGTGGACCCCAGTTATCTTTAACTGGTTTTAGCTGAGTGGGGCCTATATTCTGTTATATGATGGCTTTATGTTAATTTGTTATGTAATATTTGGGAACACCAAAATGTCTACTAAGAATTTCTGAATTTCATATCAGTAGGGAGTTTAAAACTTGCTTTTGAAAAGCCGATAATAAAATAAGTTTCCATCACTCATTCATTCTTTCAACACAAATGAGTTGGGTGAGTCCCATCAGTTTCAATTCTGAAATAAGGAATCATGTCAAGGAGTTTATTAATGAATCAGGGGAAAACACAGCAAATAAATAAATGAGTTAATGCCCCACAAAGCTGGTATTAAGGGAGGGGGCCAAGTACCACAGACTACTCAGGAAGGACAATGTTATTTCTTATAAGGGTGATAGAAAAGATTTCAAAGGAAGATAGTTGACGGACTCTGGTAGTGGTGATGTACATAATGTGCGGAGGTGGAGAGTCATTATAAGCAAAGTCAGGGATCCCTGGGTGGCTCAGCGATTTAGTGCCTGCCTTCGGCCAAGGGCATGATCCTGGAGTCCTGGGATCGAGTCCCACATCGAGTTCCCTGCATGGAGCCTGCTTCTCCCTCTGCCTCTCTCTCTCTCTCTGTCTCTCAGGAATAAATAAATAAAATATTTTTTAAAAAATAAGCAAAGGCAATAACATGATACAAAAATGGAAAGAAAGGGATAGAGAATATTCCAAGAAAGAAAAAAATTCAATTTGTTGAAATATGGAAGACCAATGAAGCATAGGGCTAGAAATAAGGGCAGAGCTTGATTACAGAAACCCTTGAATGCCAGGTTGAATAATGTATACTTTATTTGAAGTCAGTGGAAGAGTGTTATGTTGACAAAAGCAAAGGGATACTTTGCCTGCTATGTAGAGGGTAGAAAGTGAAAACAAGCAGAAAATGAGGCCTAAACTTGGATGATAACCAAGGGACAGATGAAGAGAAGCAAGGAGGAAGGTGCTGTAGAATTTGGACCTAGTGGGCATGAGAAGGGAGAATGGCTTACTCTGCTACTAGGTCTTGTGGGTTCATAGAGATGGTAGGGCAGAAATAA